TTGGTTAAGGATCGTGGTGTTCTGGCAAGGAGAAGTGCCACTTTGAGGGTGATTTGGAAGGAAGTCGGAGAAATAGGACAGTTTGGTAGTAGGTTGGGAGTAGATAGGGTGATTCGTGTGTTCTATGAATTTGGAGACTGGGAGTTCTCAGAAGTAGATTGTTTCGTGGTTGTAGACTGTGAAGTTGTGGCCAAAGCTAGCCCCATGATAGTATGTGTTATGATTAAGTCATTGTGGACTTTCAGGGGGTTATTTATCTATTTGTGGGTGACCAGAGTTGATTTGGGGTCCATTGGTGGGCACAATAAGGATATGTATTCCACACCAGGTCAAATTGGTTGACTCCGTACTGCTATTATTGAGGGATGTACCATTCGATTAGAGTTGAGCTTATTCGTGTTCTGATATATTCTATGAGTTACCCTTCTATTCCACGAGGGGTGGTGATTCGTTGGCTATATGCACACACGGTGCAGTTCTATTTGGTCCTATAGCGAAATTAGAGTGATGTGGGTATTAGGGTGTTGAATGAGTGATTGTGCATTGGTTATGTTCTTTCCGAATTGTGGTATTGTGTTATTTGTTTCTATGTGGTTATGGCCATGCATCTTGGGTACTTGATGTCGAATTGCGCGTGGTCTTTGATTTCGGGAATGGTGCCTTAAGGTATTTTATATAGATCAGTGTTTGGATGGGGTCACGCATTGAAATAGAGTTATGTTGAGATATGATCCTTTGTGTTAGATTCGTGTGTCTTGGTTCTACTATGTATGATGGGTTCGTAGCATTGCGATTGTGGTGGTACTTGTTGAACTTGCAGGATGGTTTTGTTTCCATGATTGAGTACATTTGGATTTTTGCTTATTGGTGCACGGATTGCAGAGGTTGTGGCTTTAGGTTGTATTGATGTGCCAAGTCACTAGAGTGGTTGTGTTTGATGAGATTAGGTCATTGGACCTAGAATGGATACTATCGGATTTGATTACGGAAGAATAATATCGGAAGTTGGCTTAGGATTTGGCTTTGGTTCTTATCAAACGAGAGAGAGCTCCATGGCTTGTTGATATGATGAATAGTTATGAGTTTCTGCATGTTTCCTACATCATCTGCGGTGTATAAAAGTTTTAGAACGAGGTTTTGTTTGATATGAGATTTATTACCGGTATTGGGTTGTTTTGAGCATCTACTGTGATCGGAAATTTTGCTACGAGTACGTGAGTCGTGTGGTATGTCATTTGAATGCATCTTGGATTGTGGTTATGGCTTGATACAACTTGTTCAGACTTATACAGTGTGTAGATGCGAAGTTCGGGTCTTGTAAGAACTTTCGGACGTTAGAAATTGGATTCTGTGGTTTACGGGCTAAGGTTGAAGTAAAGATATTCAGTTATGTTCTGTTGTCGAGCCTATATGGAATAGGGTGACGTGGGATCACCCCAAGATATGTGCAAAATGGGACCACATCAGCAGTAGTCAAGGCTTAAACAATAAATATAAAGATATGAAACCCCACCATCAATTTATTATACAAATCGACAAAAACCCTAGCTTTAATATGTAGGACCAACACGATAAGGACCACCAAAAATAAAAGTAACATAAATAAATCTAGAAAGGTACAAAAATAGCTCAGGTAACATAAAATCAGCACATGCAAAAGACATAAACTTGTCAGTTCCCAAATATTCCCCAACCCTACAATTTAATAACTTAAAGTTGTAAATACTTACTTTAATCGAATGATATTGCAAGATAGTGCTGGAAATCAAAGTTGTTTATGTGTTGTTCCTACCAAATCGGAGCAAACCACGAACCCTAAAGAAATCATGAAATCGCCATTTGATGGTTTAGATAGAGGAAATGAGAGAAACGGTAAAAAAAATGAGTGTTTTGTCGTTGGGTATAAGGTAAAATAACTGGCCTACATAAAAAAGAGTGGGTCGGATCGGTTAAATTGGTCAAAATTTACCCAAATATAATTTCAGCCCCGCTGAGCCACATGGCCAAATGAAAGAATGCCACATCATTTAATGAGAGGCCCACATGAAGTGCGTTAGTCACGGGGCAATTTTGACAATAGAATTGACGTCATATATATTTTCAGGCAGATAGATGGACGAGAGTTTTTTATAGACTACTTAGCATACGATTTGGGTATTTTAGGCCCTTTTCCCTTAAAAAAAAATATAGGATAAATATACTCACTTAAACAAATTAAACAAGTAAACTCTATTCTGTAATACAAGCAAGTGTTAGATTTGCTATGTATTTCAATATATTGCCCACTTTAAAGGGTATGTTGGATAACTTTTGGATTCATGTGGGATTGGAATTTGGATCAAGTTAACTTTCCAATTCAAATTTACTAGTCTAATTAATCAAATTCATTCCGATCTAATCAACAAATTGATTGGCCAAACAATTAAGGCTTTTAGGATTTTAGATGATTTTAGTATTGCAAAATTTAGTAAATATTTCGGGAACGTGAAAACAACAAAAAGAGTAACTATATGGGGAAGAGACAAGCCAGAAGAAAATGTAAAATAGAAAAGTTGGGAGTATGTTCTACACCTTGGCCCTACAAATTTAGAGCCCGTTCGAATTAGCTGATTTGAAGTAGCTGATAAGCATTAGGTGCTGAAAAACACTTTTATGTGCTGAAACTAGTTTAATAAATAAGCAGTTACGTGTTTGGGTACAAGTGCTGAAATTGATAATAAGTTGCTGCAATATTTGATAAAAAAGTGCTGATAAACTCTTTTTCTGTTAAAATGACTTAAATAACCTTAGAACTATTTACACTTATAAGGGCGTAATTTCTTCAAAAGTTTAGATTCCAGATCTATTCAAATATAAAATATTCTATTTGTCATTTTATTTTAAATACAACCGTGCTTAGATTAATCATAAGTTATAATAATTAATAAATTGACAAAAGTTTCTCAGTAAAAAATAAACCTAAATAGGACAAATTATTTGAAGAGAAACAAGCATTGTCTTATCACCACAACACTTAGAAAGCAATACACCAAAAATTTGATATGTCCTCATTTATTACATACAGTTCAAAGATTAATACACAATCACATAGATATAAGTATACAAAGGAATAGAGAATTTGCTTATCTTAAATAGTCAATGAGAATTGCAGACTTGAAGAGGTGGGGGAGGGGGGTTTAGGTTGAATATTCGAGGCCGTGAGTATCTATGTAGGAGTTTTGTTCTAAAAAGGAATATTTTAAGGATAAAATAGTAAAATCTTGGTCAAACTTAAAGTGTTAATAAGCTAAAAATTCATAAGCTGGGGGTGACCAGCTTATGGCTTTTGGCTTATTTTTAACTTTTAAGCACTTGGCTTATAAGCACTTTTAACTTTACCAAATACGTAGATAAGCCGAAAAGTACTTAAAAGCTAGTTTGACCAGCTTATAAGCTTAACCAAACACCCTCTTAGAATCATAGCCCGTTTGAATGGGTAAGCGTTAAGTGTTTTTAAGCCAAAATAGTTTTTAAGTTATTTTGTAGTGTTTAGATAAAAGTAAAAAAGTTTGTTTAAGCACTTATTTTTAAGCTAAAATAATAATAACAAGCCAAAAATCAAAAATTAAAATTTCTAACTTATGGTTTAAAAACTATTTTTGGTTTAAAAATCACTTAAAACAAGCGCATCCAAACTAGGGCTGGGCATATATCGGGTAAAACCGATAACCCGAACCGTTAATTGTTTATTGGGTTATCGTAACGGTTTAGAATTTTTCACTATTGGGTTATCGGTTCGGGCCTCGGTTTTTTAATTTTGTTAATGGGTTAACCGATAACCCAATAAGAATTAATAAAATTATGACTTTACCCTTAAGTATATACATATGCTAGGGCTTCAGTTCATTTTCTCCTATTCTTTCTCAGCCGCACTCTTCCATTGCTTCATCTTCATTCTTCATATACCTTACTAGTTACTCCTAGCGTAAGTCTTTAGTCTTATACAGTACGCTGAGCTTTGACAANTAGTATTACGGCCCTAGTGCTACGAGATTACGTTAAGGTTTTTGTTCGTTACGGTTTTCTTTTTTAGGGTTAGACTATTTGAACTAAACAATTATCTTAGTTTATCTTGGATTGTTAGTACTATATGTTTGGACTTGTTAATTTTAAGGTGAAATTGTTACTACTTTGTATTATTATTAATGTATTTGGACAACCGTTGTTGAAGAATTAGTACTCTTCCAGTTGTGGCCACCGGACAGAACGCATAAATGGGTAGTATACTATATGTGAATTCTTCTCTTTTTTGCTTAACTCTGGTGAATTGTCTTCTCTTTTTCGCTTAATACTAGATTGAGTTTTCTTATCGGGTAAACCGATAACCGAACCGATAATGATCGACAACCGATTAATCGATAACCGATAACCGATATCTTATTGGTTCGGTTATCGGTTTATCAAATTTGTAAACCGATAACCGATATGCTAAACCGATAATATTCATAATCGAACCAAATCGACCGATGCCTACCCCTAATCCAAACAGGCTCACAGTCTAATCTGAATATGATTTGCTATAGGTCACCAGCTACACAGAGCAATACCAATTTCATAACAAAGCCATTAAAGCCATTATTTGGATCAAATTTATTACAAAAAAAAAAAGATTATGTTGTGGATTTATCAGGATCTACAAAATAGAAACTACAAAAAGAGTTTTTATTTTTAATTAATTTGTCTTTTAATAATCATATTTTTAGTATAGTTACTTAGAGATAATGAGATATTACTCATAGGGGGTGTAAGTGTAAAATTTCCATAATATAGGATGTGTACAAGTTTAATTTTAAAACATAGTGAGTCTATTCGAAACTGAGTCAAATAAGGGCGTCTGGTATAACTAACCCTTAAATTATTTAGAAAGGAATAAATTATACTAAATGACTGCGACTTGTATGCAGTTAAACGTAACTTATAATTTATAAACGCATTCATTCAATGAGAATTATAAATTGGCAAGTGCGACTTATAAATTATAGCTAATACAACCACACTTTCCCCTCGGCGTTTTGGTTAACAGAAGTGAGAGAATGAGAAAGTACAAAAAAAATCAGAGCTTCAGCTAAAGAATACAATCAGCTTTTCCGATTGCATTACTATAGAAGAAAGTTTACCAAAATTCATTTGGTAAGTTGAATTAACAGCTTTGATCGACACTCTACTCATCAAAAACCCTAAACCCCTCATTTCGTCCGATTATGCTGGGTGTTCGTAGAAAATTATGCCAATTTAGTAGACAAGTTCACACGTTGTCTCGTGATCGCCCTAGTGAAACCTTAAAGATGAATCTTGCTAAATTGAAGGAGAAGAAGAAACGAAAAGATCCTCGTAAGAACCAATTATTCGTTCAAGTTCCAGAATCAAGAGCATGGCTTGACACAGCTACTATGCCAATGATACTCACTGTCGTTGGTACCGCACTTTTTGCTAAGCTCCTCATGATGGTATGTATTATATTTAGTGTGTGTGGCACTTTGTTACTGTACTGTCTCAATTCGAAAATGGGATGGTTCTATTGCAGTTTAGATCCTATTTTAGTATGAGTTTCAGTTTTGCGCACTGACGGTGTATAAATTTTTACACGTTCAGGTTAATTTGACCCACGATGATAGGTAACACTTCATAGAAAGCCTGATATAGTAACTTAGGGGAGGCAAATAACACTAGGTGATTTATTCCCACTCCCAAGCCTTGATTGGCAGAGTTATTTGATACATGGTATGGACACCACAATTATAAATAAAAGTTTCGCACTGATAGTGTATAGTTGTTGATGCTGTTAGTTAAGAAGCAGGTACACAGCTAGAAGCCAGCTGTTAATGAGTTGGCATAAGTGTAGGATTAAGTTAAAACAAGTTAGTTAGTTAGTCTTGTGTATAAATAGGGAACTTTATTTTCATTTCAGTCTGGTAGCTCAATATTGAAACCAGTGAGAATGTATTTCACTTCCCCTGCTCTATCATCTCTTTTTCCTCTTCTGCTCACCTCTATAGCTGACCTCCATTAACACGGTATCAGAGCTCCGGTGACGTTACCTGGTTCAGCAATTAGGAGAAGCTAGCTGCGAAGAGAAGTAAGTGGAAAATTCTCACAAATTGAGCTCGTATTCGAATCTTTGACCTACGGCGATTGTTCCTCTGTGATTGAATCTCGATTCGCCGAAAACTTCAATCTCAATTGTTGATTTTGAAGATCTGCTGTTGATTACTGCAATGACTATCGAAGAAAGTACATCCTCTGCCCCAGCCACTCGAACACTACATGATCAAAATGTAGACCTAGTTCATCACAATCACTCTCTCTATATCCAACCGTCTGATACACAAGGTGCAGTTCTCATTTCAATTCAACTTCGAGGTTCTGAGAATTATTCATTGTGGAGTAGATCTATGAAAATTATATTGCATGGAAAAAACAAACTAGGTTTTGTGTTAGGAACCTATAGAAAACATATGTTTGATCCTAGCTTACATGAGCTATGAAATAGGTGTAATGCTATTATGCTAGCTTGGATAATGAACATTGTGGCCACAAATTTACTTAGTTCTGTGATATATGTTTCTGGTGCTCACAAGGTTTAGGAAGACCTTTGTGAGAGGTTTGATAAGGTCAATACATCTAGATCTTTCTACCTACACAAAGAAATTGCGAAGCTAACACAAGGTCTGTTATCTGTGTTTGAATATTTCTCAGAGAATTATGAGATGAATATGAGGCTTTAGTTCCTCCTCCTTCATGTGGCTGTCCAGAATCTAAACGAAATGCATAACATTATCAGCTTCAAAAGTTGTATCAATTTCTTACTGGGCTAAATGACACTTTTGATAATGCTAAGGATCAGATTCTCATGACTAGACCAATACCTAATATAAATCAGACGTATGCAATGATCATTAATGTGGAAAGTCAAATAAGAAACAATGCTACTGTTGGTGTCGGTGATCCTACAGATCTACTGAGTAACAAAGCTCCAACTGGTAGTTACAATCGTGGTTATAAGCCCAGAAACAACTTTGGAAAGTCATCTCTTCAATGTGACTTTTGTCATCTTAAAGGCCACACCAGAGACAATTGTTATAAGCTTCATGTTACCCCACTGATTTTAGAGGCAAGAAAGGAGAGGGAGGTACTCCTGATTCCAAGGGTGCATATGCACACAATGCCATCATAGCATCTGATTCACCTAACCAACAAGGAGGCACTGCTAATGTGGTTCCATCATATGCTTCAGCAGTTGGTAGTTCTTCAGCAGTGCCCCCTCAGCACCTTTCTTCACTCAGGATCAATATAATCAGATCCTGCAGATGCTGAACAAAGGAAAACAGGTTGAAACTATGGCTAATTCTGCAACAATGAATACTACGGGTACAATAACAACTCTCATGTCTCATGTGGTGAGCAATAATTGGATTATAGATGCAGGTGCTACTAATCATATGGCTCACAACTTGAATCTACTGAGCAATATTAGGAAACTATCAGACAGTGACAAAAATTCAGTTCAACTTCCTAATGATGAAAAGGTTACTATTAGTCACACTGGTGATCTATCATTGTTTAAGGATAAATCAGTACATCATGTGCTCTATATTCCAGATTTCAAGTTCAATTTGATGTCAGTGTCAAGATCATAAAAGAGCTAAGATGTCTAGTAGCTTTCTTTCGTGATGCATATTTTAGGAGCTCTTCGCTGGGAAGGTGATGAGGATTGGCAAAGAGGAGCATGGTCTCTACATTTTGAAGCACGAGGAACAAGATGATGCCAAGCAACTGTTAGATCCTAGGCCAATTCATTCCACTCCTCCTGTAAATAGCATTGTTAGTGAGTCCAAAGCAAATAATGCTAGTGCAGCAAATAAGAATTCTTCTTAGATGATATTGTCTTGTGGCTTAAGAGGTTAGGTCATGCACCTTTAAGAGTTCTGAAGAAGATAGGAAGTTTGCTGAATGTTCAATTGAAGGAGCATTTTTGTACAGTGTGTCCTGTTGCTAAGCAGACCAGAATTCCTTTTTCTTCCAGTAATGCCTGTTCTATTAATGCATTTGATCTCATACATGCTGATGTTTGGGGCCATATAGAGTGCCTACTCATAATGGTAGGAGGTATTTTATGACTTTGGTGCATGACTACTCAAGGTTTATCTGGCTTTTCTTAATGAATGATAAGGTAAAATCTATTTTGAATTTGAGAAATTTTCTGTTATTAGTCAAAAATCAGTTGCACAGTAGTGTCAAGGGTCTAAGGTCAGACAATGGCACTGAATTCTTTAACAAACAAGTGAACATGGCATAGTTCATCAAAGCTCTTGTGTACTCCTCAACAAAATGGCAGAGTTGAAAGAAGAGATAGGTCCATTCTTGATATGGCTATGTGTCCCACTAAAATTTTGGGTAGAATGTGTTACTACTGCTCTTTACATTCTGAATAGGCTGCCTAATATTGTATTGAAGGGTGCATCTCCTTTTGAAAAAGTTGTTTCACAAGTCTCCATCTTTACAACATCTAAGAGTTTTTGGTAGTCTGTTATGCAACTAACTTGAAGAAGACAAACAAGTTCTGTCCTAGAGCTGTTCCTGCTGTTCATCTAGGCTATTCAGCAGTTCAGAAGGGTTATGTTCTGTATGACCTCTATTCTCAACTCTTCTTTGTTAGCAGAGACACTGTGTTCAGAGAAGATATTTTTCCATTCAAACATCTACACACAATTCCCTCTCCTTTGTTTCCAGTTCTAGAATTCAGAGATGCTGAGTGTCCTGCTTTGCATGATCTTGACCTAAGTTGCTCCGACACGGCAATTTAGGTGCTGCACCCGTGTCAACACGACACTAGTATGGGGGTGGGTATGGGATCTATACCGGATTTGGTCAAACAATTTTGGGTACTTTGACCACGATGGACGGAAAAAATCGAGATGAGATACAATTTGATTCCCGAAATCAGAACCAAAACTAGGGTAAATTTGAAGAAAATAGCACATTTTATTTAGGAAATCAATCCTTTACCTATTTACAACTTGAGAATAAAAAAGAAATCCACATTTGACAAACTATATGTAAGTATTCCACAAAATTTCTCATAATTTAGAGATATATTTATATTTTTATATTTTTGAATTATTTATAGCCGGATCCCCGCACTCGTATCCTTACTAGGATCCGTATCCTCGAATCTTAGAATTTACATCTGAAATGATCCGACCTCTAGATCCACACCCGTGTCGGACTCCCGCACCCGTGTCCGAGCAACTTAGATCTTGACTCCCTCGGTCCATCTGTTACTCCCCGTCCTTCTATACCTTCCTTGAATGATCAACCTAGTCCATTCCTTTCATCTTCACGTTCTCTCCCTTCTACTGATCATTCTTCTTCACCTCATCTTCCTTCTCCTGCTAATCCTGGTTTAAGAAGATCTTCTAGGGTGACTAAGCCTCCTATCTGGATAGAAGACTATCTAGTGTTGACCAAGCCTTCATCCTGTTGCTCATCCTATATCACAGTGTGTAACCTATGATCATCTCTCACCTGCCTACAGGGAATCACTTGCAGCTTATTCATCTATTATTGAGCCAAGGTCTTATGATGAGGCCAAGGCAGATCCCAAGTGGATTGAGGCCATGAAAGCTGAGATTTCAGCCTTATAAGCTAATCAGACTTGGACCATTGTTGATCTTCCTCCAGGTAAGACTCTATAGGGTATAAATGGGTGTTTAAAGTGAAGTACAAGTCTAATGGTGAGGTGGAGAGGTATAAGTCTAGTTGCCAAAGGATATAGTCAACTAAAAGGTTTGGATAATAAGAAGACCTTCTCTCCTGTAGCTAAGATGGTGACGGTTAGATCTGTGATGGCTTTGGCTGCAACATCTGGATGGTATATTTTCCAGATGAATGTACACAATGCTTTTCTTCAAGGTGATCTCCTTGATGAAGTGTACGTGCACATCCCAAATGGCTTTGCCAGCCAGGGGGAGTTACAGCAGCAGCAGAATGTTTGCAGGCTTCATAAGTCACTGTATGGGCATAAACAAGCTCCCAGACAGTAGAACTTGAAGCTTACTAGTGCACTTGCCATGGACTTTGTTCAATCTCACTATGACTATTCTTTGTTCACACATAAGGTAGGCTGTGACCTTATAGTAGTATTGGTATATGTGGATGACCTATTGGTGACCGGGACTAGCTTAGCACTCATTCAACAAGTGGGAAAAGATTTACAAGCTAGGTTTAAGATGAAGGATCTGGGGGAACTGAAGTATTTCCTTAGTATTGAGTTCTCTAGATCCAAGGAAGGGATTTTGATGAATCAAAGGAAGTATGTACTTGAGCTAGTGTCTGAAATGGGATTAGTAGGCAGTAGACTGCTGCTACTCCTCTTAAGTTCAATCACAAGCTCTCCTCTGTAGAACTAGACAAGTTTTTACACACTAATGATGACTCAGTTGACAAAGAGCTAGAAGATCGAAGCAGCTACCAAAGGCTGATTGGCAGACTATTATACCTGACTATGATTAGGCCTGATATTGCCTTTGTAGTTCAGGTACTTAGTCAATACATGCATGCTCCTAAGCAGTCTCATATGGATGCAGCCATAAGAGTAGTAGATACATTAAGGGCACAACAGGTCTTGGGTTGTTTATGCCAGCAGGTGGAAGCACAGAATTGACAGCATTCTGAGACTCAGATTGGGGAGCATGTGTAGAAACCAGGAAGTCAGTAACAGGCTACATGGTGAAGTTTGGACAAGCCTTGGTGTCCTGGAAATCAAAGAAACAAAGTATTTCAACTGTGGCTGAGATCACTTGGTTAATTGGGCTGTTTAAAGAGCTTGGAGTGAAGGTTAACTTGCCTGTGCAGCTGTTTTGTGACAGCAAAGCTGCAATTCAGATTGCAGCTCACCCCATTTTCCATGAGAGGACAAAACACTTTGATATTGATTGTCATTCTGTAAGAAAAAAGATTCAAGAAGGGCAGATACTAACTCAGCATATTGGAACCAAGGATGGGTTAGTTGACTTGCAAGCAAATCATCTGGTAGGCAAGCTGAGGGGGGGTGTTGAGGCTGTTAGTTAAGAAGCCGTTACACAGCTAGCCAGCTGTTAATGAGTTGGCATTAGTGTAGGATTAAGTTAAAACAAGTTAGTTAGTTAGTTAGTCTTGTGTATAAATAGGGAACTTTATTTTCATTTCAGTCTGGTAGCTCAATATTGAAACCAGTGAGAATGTATTTTACTTCCCCTACTCTCTCATCTCCTTTTCCTCTTCTGCTCACCTCCATTAACAATAGTTTAATACATTATCATGTTAACTGACCTACAATAATGGGTAACTCTTCATAACAAGTCTGATATAGTAACTTCAAAAATAGAATAAGAACCTTGTTATAGCCATTTAAATTGAACTGATAGTGTAAAAATTATTTTTTGAGATGGAGGGCGCACTATAACGATAGTGTAAAAATTATTTACACCAACAATTGTATATAACTTAAATCCTTTTAGTATTTGGCTGAAATTCGAATGACCTTGAAATGGACAAAGCGCTAGTATGTTCATTTGTTGATGTGATTCTGGTGGATTGTAAAAATGCATAGAAGGTAAGCTTGGGGATAGTGATAGCTGAAAAAGTTTAGTGTTGTTTCATTGTTGGAGTGATGTGAAAATAACTTGATTGTTTCGTTGATGTTCATAATCTTAACTGGAGAACTACTTTAGTACTGTAACTTACCAAAGAAACCGAATGTTAATAGTACAACTACTCTAATACTGTAAAATACCTTTGGTTTTCTTGGTTTGAATAGATGCTGCTTATTTTTATTACATATGTTGCCATGTAAACAAGCTTAAGCGGAATCTTGTTAATAATGATTGAGGATGTTGATGTAATTTAGCTGACTGAATCCGCAAACTTCAAAGTTCAAAGTTGCCATCATTGGCTTGCACTAAGCACTAAGTTACTTTCAATTCTTTGGCATAAGAAACTTGCTTGTATGCTTTTACAATCTAAATCAGCTGTGTAGTTTATAAGCTACAGTTGTGTTTGCATGCAGTATGATGACTCGAAGTCTCAAGAAATGATTGAGAGAAAGATAAAGAATGCGCCTGATGGTCAAGGGTCAGTTAGGATGCTTACCCGTGAGGAATGGGAATCAATTCAAGACGTGAGACCAAGAACTCCATTTGAATCTAAACTTGCTCGTCCAAATGCAAGGCTAAGGACAGGGGAACCTTTGAAGATGGTAAATGCATTATTGCTTTAAGCTTTTATTCATCTGATGGTGGGTACTATTCCTGCTAACGTTTTAGAGAACAATCTAAGTGGGTCAGAAAGCTTCCTATAGTTGTGAGACTTCCAGTCGACAAGTGAATGCAATTTCTAGCAGAATATCATATTCACGATAATGACTATAATGGTGTCGTAGTATTTAGAGAACTATCATTATTGTCACATCAGTTGCCTGTTGGCCTAAAACTATGCATATCAACCTTGTGCCTGATTAAGTTCACTTTTCATCTTTTGATGGACAAAGAATGTAGTCGTCAGTAGAGGTTTGGATAAGCTTGGAAATGAAAATAAAGGGGAGTTCTAGGTGTTCGACATCCCCATTTCCTTAGAAAATGGAATAAGAGAAACTGCATTCGTTGTGGATTTTTGTGTTTTCATTTTCATGGACCAATATTGGATTTGCCTTGTTCATTTGGATGCTAATATTTCTTCTCTTTTTCTTTCTCCAGTTAAGAAAGTCGATATTAAAAAATTGTAAATATGACAAGAATTGCTACCTCGTAAATATGGGAAAAGCTTGGACTGCCTTTAATTGTGTAATTAGGAATATGAATTGCTTTTTTCCCCTTTTCTATATTGCTTGTAAATGCTACAATTAAATCTCAACATGCTTGAGGGAGATAATCAAGCAATTCATTCTGCTATTCTTTACATGGTATCGGAGCCAAGGGTTTGAGTTCACTCTGGAAAAATTCTTCTTCCTTCTGTTTCCAAACAGGAAAAAAGAAAAGAGAAAGAAAGGAAATCTCTTTCATACGCGTATTGAGTCTCAACTCCCTCCTAGAAAGGTTACCCTGTCGCTAGTGACCCCAACCTTAAAAGCCCAGCGCTGGAAGCCACACACATGTATCTCACTTGCCATCCATCACCTTCACCAGAGTTTCACGCACCGGCACATGGGTCGCTTTCCAGTGACCTTCCAACTGCCAGTGTATCAAGGTCGACCAAGTTCCTAGCTTCATCTTCTCTTCTCACTTTCTATTGGCTTCAATTTTCTTTCCCATCACCCTTTTCCAAATATTTCTGTTGCTGACCTGGCCTTGAGTTTTTTCTCCTCTATGAATTGTTTCTTTCTTTTCTAACTGCTTTATCCTCAGTCCTCACTGTTCAGATCTTCCTTCTAATGTGTCGTAATCACAATTTCCTAGTATTGACATTCTTAATATCTGCAATCCTCACATACAATTTGGTTGGAATGTTAAAAGTCCAGCTCTTCTTTGATTTAGGCCAGAAATGTTGGAAGTAGTGCACAACTAAAGGCAACCAGCTAATAAGGCCATCAAGTTATGTGGGCTAATGGTGAACTCTCAACTATATATTTTAAGTTTGAAGTTTCAGTTCCTGGTAAAACATTACAGGTGTAGTTTGGGGAAAAAGTCTATCCAAATAATGGAAGTCTGGAAATATATATATGAAAAAACTAATGAGACCTTCATTTTTCAATTGAACTTCTCTACTTTTGTTTGGTGTCAGGTTTTTGTTAAGTCAGCATCAGTGCAATTCTATATCTTATTTGGAAACTTTGTCGTAAGATCACGCAAAACATATGTTTAAATGATTAGGCAATGGTGAATTTAACATGATTATGCAGTGTTTGTTACTCATTTTCCAATCTTCCAGATGTCTTAAACGTATTATGTTACCTTATAAGTGGTAACTTATCATTTATTCTTCTCTTCTTCTGATACTTCTTATTATTTCCCCCAAAATTCTTACTGGTTCAGTGGCATGACAAAATTTTGAATGACTATGCTGTTTTGTTTGATCACTTTTATGCAGGAAGATGTCAAGGATTGGACAATAGATGTTATAACCGATGCACTAACACGAGCTGAAGAATGTGCTAAATGAGGATCTAACTAGCTTTTAAGTTGATAACATCAGTATCCTATTTCAACCAGAGCTGCTTCTTATGAACCAGGAGGTCTCTTCAACCTCATATGCCCATCTCAACATGCCATCCTTCTATTAGCAGAAGTGAAGTAATGCTGCCTTTCTTACCGGACAGCAACGACTAAACTTATGCTAGCTGAAAGTGTGCTGTGCAGAATTTTTGAGCCTCAAAGATTTTTTTCTCCATAGTACTGTACTCCATTCTTGTTATAGTTTCTTTTTTTACATTATTGGAAATGGCGAACTTTAGTCAATATACTGAACATTTTCCTTTGAATAACATAAATATTATTCAAAGTACTCTTTGTTGCCTGAGAATATTCGTTTCGTTTGTTCTTGAGCAACTGGTGCACTAATAAAAATATTGGATGTCATCTTCTTTAACCAATTTTTAGCTGTGGGGAAGAGGCATACATAAATATTATAATCTTATGTGCATGGTTTGTAATGTTGGCTATAGGATTGACTCATTGAGTAATTGTAATATCAGAAATGACTTCACCTAATTTCAGCAATGAAAATGGCAGAATAACATGACTTCAACCAATTTTAATGATGGTAGTATTATTTAATGAGGAAAATGCCACAATTATTTTTTCTTATGCAATCAACTCAAATATTGCAATATTTTTTTCTTATATGGCCAATAAATAATATACTATTATTTTACGCTAAAGTTTATGTTTTATGCCAATACACTCGACCAAACCACCCTAATGTATTGCTTTGCATATGGAGTTGCTTTTCGTATGGAGCACTTACCTCCAGAGTGGGACTCTCAAAAAAATACTTTTCTTTGCGGAGCTTAGTGCACCTGGCTGTTTATGTGTATATCCGACAATAAGTGAGAACCCCAATAAAAACCTACTACCTCTGGTTCATAGTAAGTGATTTATTTTTATCTTTGGCACACCCTTTAAAAAAATACGAACTCCTAGGAAAAAAAATATGTATTCACTAAATTACCTTTAATTAAAATTTACCTATTGTTACCTTGATACATTGAGATATGTAAATACGGGAAAAATTTTAAAAAAATAAAATTAACTCTTTCTTGATTATGTAAAAAGACTTATTTTGAACCAAACTAAAAATGTAAAAAAGTCACTTATTATAAGCCCGGGTAGTACCATTTTGCCTCTCTATCCCAATTTATATCTCATGTTTTCCTTTTTAGTCTGTCTAAAAAGAATACTTTTCTTTTAAATTTGTCTCAAAAAAATTATATTTTATTTAAAAATAATTTAACTTTAATTTATTGAAGTAATAGGATTTATAATCACATAAAAAAATTATAATTTATTTTAAAATCTTAAATTTTAAGCCGAATCAAATATCACCGTATTAATTGGGATAAAAGGTGTATCTTTTTCCCATTTTCCTCGTAAGCTGACTAGAGATCGAGTTACCCTTTAGTGTCATCTCAGTTGACGGCCAGCTTAGTTTTTCCAAGTCTATATTTCGGGTTTATAACTACTCTTGATCTGTTTTTGACCCATATATTTTTTTGCTAATTTTAGCTGTTTAAAGTTTTTTAAACGAGGAAAAGAATTCTAGGTCACAGTGTTCTTGGAGTTTCATCTCATGTTTTGACTGCTCAATTTTACTCCAATGACTCATTTGGTGAGTTCCCATATATCAGTTTCTCCACTGCCTTTTTGAGATTTTATGTAAGTTAGTATTGGTTTATGTTGAATTTGATAGCTGCTTGTGATTTGAATTCTGCTCTAATCTTCTGCATCTAATGTATCTTTTGTTAGTTAGTATTTGCATGTCAATGAGGTTTTTATCCGCAAAGGCGCATCCAGGATTTGAACATTTTGGGTTCGAGTTTAGAATTCTACTACAACTCATTCAATTTACTGAGTTCAAAATGTACTATTTTGTACTTGTTTATTGAATTTTTTAACCCGTAAACAAGGTCCGAGCCAATAGAGGCGGATCCGGGATTTAAAATATATGGGTTTAGCTTTTATTATTTTTTGGCATTGAACCCGTTATATTTTTATAGTTAGGGTTTATATCTATTATGTGTTACACTTTTGGTGAATTTTTACACATAGATTTATGCTCCTTCGAAAGTACTTAGTTCAAATAAACCCGATACTCAAATGTTGCTTCCGCCCCTGCGAGCCGAAGCTACTAGGTTCAGATGAACCTATTAGTCTTTAACTACATCGACCCTTGGCTATAGGATATTATTACTCTTTAATTAGCAGTTTATGTCTTTCAGTGAGTCTTCAGTTTACAGATGCAGAATATATGTACTAGATGTGGGGACTGGGGAGGGACTGAGGCTTCTGTGGTTTTGTCATCAGCAATTTAGATTTGGTTTCAGGAATCTTGAATTATTGGACTAAAGACCTTGGTTCCCTTGCTCTACAGATCTTTCCACTTTTCCAGGGTGAAATGCCCTTCTTTTGAAATTTGCTTTCACATCTTTTAGTGCTTAGGAATGGGAATTTGATTCTCTCACGTTCATGGTTGAATATGGCAAGACTGATGTTAAAGGTTGTGCTTTTGGGCTTTGAGTTGGGTATTATCATATTTGACTTCGTATGTTATCTTACGGTCTTACAATTGCAGATTCCAGTCAGTATTTGGTCAGTAGAATATTGAATCGACACAACATCTGAATGTAACCATTTCGGATTTCCTTTTGGACATGAATCTGTGCCTCTTATCCCCAATCAACTTGTCTGTAAGCAGTTGTGGCTTATTATTGCAAAAATGTTTGAAAGCTAAGTTGCTGGAACAGTGCAAGCAAATTCATGCACTAATGTTAACATCGCACATCGACATGAATGCTTTGTCACTGAATTCAAAGCTCATTGGTGCCTATGCAAGTTGTGGGTATCTTGGTGCAGCTGATCTTGTGTTTGAAAGAACCAGAAACCTGAATATTTTTGCATTTAATTGGATGATTTCATCTTTCGCATTTCATGGCTACCCTGAGAAATCCATTGGTTACTTCTCTCTTCTTCAACAATCAAGAATTATTCCGAACAAGTACACATTTACTATTGTGTTGAAAGCATGTGTTGGTCTAATGGATCTGAACAAAGGAAAGCAAGTGCACAGTATGATATATAGAATGGGATTTGAGTCAGAGTTATCGGTTGCCAATGCCTTGATTGATATGTATGCTAAATGTGGCAATACAGAATATGCTCGTTTAGTTTTTAATGTAATGGTTGAGAGAGATATTGTATCCTGGACATCAATGATACATTCATATGCTAACACGGGGAAAATAGAAGAATCCTTTATTTTGTTTGAAAAGATGAGGTTAGAAGGCATAAGGCCTAATGATTTTACATGGAACATAATGATCGCTGGATATGCTAGGAAAGGAGATTGTGACACAGCTTTCACGTTATTGTCTAAAATGAATAAAGAGGGGTTGACTCCAGACTTGGTTACTTGGAATGCCATGATTTCGGGGTTCGTTCAAAGCCACAGATCGACTGAAGCATTAGCATTAGTTCAGGACATGTTGGATGCAGGAGTTAAGCCCAATGAAGTCACTCTCACTGGGCTTCTTCCTGTGTGTGGGTTGATTGACTCTGTTTCTAGGGGGAAAGAAATTCATGGCTTAGTATATAGATTAGAGTTTTTTGCTAATGTCTTTGTTGCTAGTGCTCTCATTGACATGTACAGTCGATGTGGTAGCGTGGAAGAGGCTTGGGATGTTTTCAGTTCCGTTCCTTTCAAGAATATTGCATCATGGAATGCTATGATAGGATGTTATGGAAAGCATGGCAGAGTAGAACATGCAATCAAACTTTTTGAGAAGATGCAGTATGAAGGAGTGCTGCCAAATGAAGTAACATTAACTTCTCTTCTTTCTGCATGTAGTCATGCTGGTTTAGTTGAGAGAGGTTTGAAGATCTTTTGGTCCATAGAGGAGTCTTATGGCGTTAGAGCAAGGAAAGAGCATTATGCTTGTGTTATTGATCTTTTGTGTCGTTTTGGGAGGCTAGAAGAGGCTTACAATATAATCAAAGATATGCCAACAAAAGTTACAGATTCAATTATTGGGGCTTTCTTCAGTGGTTGTAAGGTCTACACAAGGAGAGATCTTGCTGAAAAGATGGCTAAGGATATATTGCACATGGATCTGAAGAAGCCTGAAGGTCTTGTAGCTCTCTCAAATATTTATGCTGCTGAAGGAGAGTGGGAGAATGTTGAGAATGTGAGGAGCATGATGAAGGACAAGGGATTAAATAAGATGCCTGGTTCCAGTCGGTTGTAGAGAATAAGATGATATGCGGAACTAGATCTAGGAATGTGAAGCAAAATTTGATTTTAAACCATTAGATAACGGTAAGAACATATAAGATATACATGCTATATACATGCTTTGCTGTTTGCAGTAGTGTCTGATTTGTTGCCTTTAATGTCGCTTAAAGTTGAAAATGATTATTCAAGGTCTCACATCCTTTTCTGAAGAACCTGTGTATAGGGAATGAGGAACATGGTTTCCATGATATAATATACTTTTGCACTCAGCTAATTGCTCTAAGCTCTCTGTTATGTGGCTTTACACTTTCAGAAGTTGGAAATTTTGCTTATCTGTTAAGTAGCGTAGGCTGCATTGAAAGAGTACATATCTGCGAATATTTTATTCATGCTCAAATAAAACAAAGAACTATCATTTTAAAAAACAAGTGGGATTCATGCAGTCTTACTTGAATTTCTTCCTAATTTGGTGCTCCTTTGCTCATACTGGCTGGAAAAAGTTCTTTATACTCTTTCACCTTGAAGTAGCCTTTTAATTTGGTCAAGTTATTTTGTGATTTTACTCTATGAGGTCCATCTTTCAGGTTTGAGGTTTAGTTGATTGGTTAACTCTGTGAAGTCCACTATTCAGTAATCTAGTATAGTACTGATCGGTAGTGTTATTTGTGTTCTTTTTCTTTCTTTTCTTGGATGCTATGTTGCAATCATATTCTCAGAACTAGCTGTACCGTGTTTTTCAGTGTATTCTAGAAGCTGTGGCATAGATGGAGCATTACTAATTTTGGTTAGAGCCAAACTGATTAGCGCTCTTAACAAAATTAATCAGGGCTCTAAATACTTCTGTGCAAACTCCAACAGTCTAACGTTTCGTTGTTTTCTCTCAATCTTGTCCTAGTATCTGTTTTGGGATCTGAATCATTTCATACGTTTCTCATTCTTGATCAGCAAGTCTTGTGACCAAGAGATTTATTTTAAGAAGTATGATGTGAAACAACTTTCATCTATCTTTTTTTAATAAATATAATGCTATGCTGGGATGGACACAAGGGTCGTGATACTCAATATTGTTTCGCTTAAACTATGTTATTTCCTAGAAAGGATAAGAGTCTGAAGAGAATATAATTGGATTACCTTATGATGTATTGATACCTGCATCCAGTTGTTTACTACAATTCAAATGGAAGTAAAACTGTTATCCTTCCTCCTCTCCATCAATGAAAAATCTGAAGGACTTTTTCTGTTCCTCTTTCACTTCCTTATAAAGCGGGGGTAATGATTTGTACATTCCCCCTTTTACTTCTGCTCGTGCACCACTTCCTCCTTTCACCCCAATCAAGCTTTGCTTTAGTCGTAATGTGAAGCTGTTTGTGCATAGACTTTACATCTTTAACTTGGAATGTACAGTAGAACTGAGTCTATTTCTACACAATGTTATTACCTTTAGTATTGCTTATATAGTTGCTTAAACTTATGCAACAATTAAGAGCCCTGCACATTTGTACTTGCCTACTTCTAAAGCCTTCTGCAGTATTTATGTCACCTCTTGAGAGTAACTATAGTTGATCATTTCACATAGGGCACTTAGCTATTCTTTCAGACTGATACTGGCGGAGGCAGCAGGATAGCTGAAGTATACTGACTGAAGCTAGACATAGTTGGGAGTACATATCTGTATGCATTTAATTCTGAATTAGGTTGTCCACATATCAAAATCTGTTTTTCTTTGTTCCAAAGTTGGTTTCTGGTTTATGTGGAGTAGTACAGAAAAGAGTGGACACTGTGTTTCCATAATGAAAAGTGTAGGAACGGGAAGATAATTCCAACTTGGGGTATTTATCGATCATGTATCAATTTCTTCAAACTTTGCCTCACAACAATCAGAGTTAACTGGGAATGGAGGTCTTGACTTCCTGTCATTGTCGCATAATTTAAGTTCTCCGGATTATCTTTTTGTAGTGGTAGCTTTGCCTCTTGTTTTGACAGCCAGTTCTCCTCCCATGCATGTAATCCCTGGAAAATAACATAAGGCAAAAAGAGAGAGTGTATATACTTGATTGTTGCGTATCCATGATTATTAAGTGTTGTGTGCACTTTTCTATTGATAACTTGGATATCCTTCTGTAAAGTTTTTCTTTTTGAATCTTCCATTGGAAAATATAGTTGATTCATGTCTCCTGTTTTATTTTATTTAGCAGGCGTATTTGCTGCTAGTTTGTTAAGCCTTGGGGTTATCAAGGCAATGGGTCGAGGAAGAGGAAAGGGTAAGAAGTTGAGTCTAATTGACCCCAATGATCCAGGAAGTGATGAGGAAGAGAATATCCCTACTCAGAAGAGGAGAGGAAGGCCACAAAAATCATTCAAAGATGACATTGAAGAAGAAGCAACTGAGATGATCGACGAGGAAAATTCTGAGAATGAAAAAAATGGAATCGCAAACTTGGAGATTAAAAATTCTGCTACGGGAAATGGGAAGAAGAGGAATCGGAATACTCTGATTAAAGAAAAGCGTGATTCAGTTAAAGAAGAAAATGATAATGGAACAAGATCAGGCAACGATGAATCTACTAGGTCAAATAATGGCTTCCGTCATAGGCGGAAAAACAAGCCTCGCCGCGCTGCAGAAGCTGGTTTCAAGTGCAACTGACATTTTGGCTGTGTCTTATGTGGACTCAGTTCTTTTGTGATGGCAGATAGATCCTTTTACACTGTAAATCACGCCTTAGTTTCCATGTTCCTTTATGTATGCTCATTTTGGCACTTTAGTACATTGACCTTTCTTAACCTTTTTGGAAAGGTCTTGTGCTGGTAGTACCGTTTATGTGCAGAGCGTTTTTATTTCCTATGCAATTTGTTGTTTGTCTGGCTTTAGATCTGATTTTCCCCATTGTTGCGTTTGATCGTTTCCTTGTCCCGTGACAGGTGAATTCAATCAAGAAGTGAAGCTAGCTCTTTCACTTCAATTTTTCCGTGCCTCTCTACTTTTGAAGACAAGTGAAAGAAAAAATGGTGAGTGACAAACGGTGAGGGTGCAGTGCGAGACGTTGATAAGGCGCCTATCACTAATTTAAACCATATCGCAGATCAAAAGGTCTAATATTTAAGTGAAAAAGAATAGAAGAATCCGCTTATTATTCACCAAGTTTCTAATCAAGTGCTTTTTGCAAAGAAAACTGATAATGAGTTATCTTTGTGTCGTAGTGTGATCAATTGTTCTTTTTTCATTCTAAATCAAGGAACTTACAAGAGATTGAAATGGACAAAGCAATCCCATAATTTAGGGATTGAGTTAAGCGAATACTATGAATTACGTTTATTGGAGTCGAGAGAAGAACAGTTCCCATTAACTATGATTTATTCTTTTATAAAAATGAAGGCTACCGAATGTTGGCTGCTGCAATTCAAAGTACTCAACAAATCATTTCTATTAGTAGTTCCTATAACCAAATTAGTCCTTTCATTGATTAAGATCCTCTCATTTGCTCTGTCATCTGAAAGTAACAAGGTCTTTTTTGTCTGAGATTGCAATGGCATGACTTAAACATAAAACTACCTACCATACATGAGGCCGTCACAAAGAATTGACATTGAGCGTTAGACACAGAATTTGCTGAACGAAATGTAAGAGTTATGTAAGAGAGGAGAATTTGAGTTGAAAAAGTAGAAGTCGCAAACTTCATTAATTTACTCTGGCTTATTAACAAGTGTATGGGAAGACCTGCCATATTTCCATTAGTTTACTGTGAACATCGACGCAGGTCGGTGTTCACTAATTTACTATGGCTTATTAATAAGAGTATGGAAAGGCATGCCATATTTCCATTGGATTAGTGTGATCACCAACGCAGGTACTTACACTCGGAAGTAAGACGAACAGTATAACCTTGGCAACTGACATTTAAGCGAATATAGATACAACTCAAACATAGTTAAGCCATATGGAGTCGTTTGGTTGGTGGGAAAAAGAATAACAATTCCGAGATAAAATGCAGGATTATTTTATCCCGCATTTCATTATGGATATTAATTAGTCCCGAAAACCATTTTGTACTAAAATGGTGGGATTAACTATATCTCACCCCATGGAATATCCATGTCTATACCATCCCACCAACCAAACAACCACCAAGTGTGTTTATACAAAACACATATCTTGCATTCATTGATTTGGTGTAAACGTTAGGCATGATTAAGTTTTCACCATTTAGCAGGCTTCGATTTTTTGGAATTGGTTAATCTTTGTCCAATAATACCAAAAAATCAAAGTATGCTGCGAGGATAAAAACTTACATACATCCAATATTTACACCAAACCAATAAATGCAAGACATGTGTCTTGCATACACACACTTCTCAATTAAATATGTTTGAATAATATGTATTTTCACTTAAATTTTTGACTTCTCACCAGAATTCAAGTCATCTAATGTCTCTTTCTTAATATTCCTTTCGGCTACAAAACAGGGAAAAGGGTTACCTTGGCCTTCCAGAGGTCAGGTCTCCCTCAAAAGATCCAATCACAGGGTTCAGAGAGAACCAGTAATCAACAAAATATTAACAACAATATGCCTGCGTTTCAAAAGGTTATATAAACTCGAATAGAAGATGAATTTACAAAACTGTGACCAGTACATCATTCTTGAGACAAAATTAGATCTGGATTTAAGGCATTTACAACAGGAAAGCGCTAACTAAAGACACTAACCTGAGATTATAAACAAATTAAATCTTGAATAAAGACAGAAAACAATTTAAGCGAAGGAGAAAAAGATGAAGTGGGAGAAAACAAAAGAAAGTATTATGGGACAGCACTCCAGCACAAAACATGTAAGCACTGTGAGCACTTTAACTATGAATGGTAGAAACAAGACACAAAGATCCTGTCACAACTAAATGGAGCAGACTAACATTTCTCCAATTTAAGCCTTAAAATGTAAATGGCTTCATCAAATTCTCAGGTACGTGGCTCAACACACATTTCTAAAAAACTCAAGTGGCACGAAGGAAAACAACTTAAAATATCCACCAACTATGATTGAGTGTGACCAAGCTAAGCCAACTACACCAATCAAGCCGACAACTAGACACCAAGAACCATAGATCTCTAAACATAAAAATATCATTAATCTATCATAGAATGGTGCATACTTGCACTTAAATATCATTTTCACTTTAGGTGCATACTTATTAAATAGAGAAGCAACACATGTAGCTATGAAACCAAACTCACAAGACACATGAATCTATCATAGAGTGATTCCTGATGAGGAGAGTACTTACTAAATAGAGAGCAATAAGAGCCTGCCTGCATCACATGTATCTATGAAACCAAACTTACAAGACACATGAATAACTCCAAAAGTAGGTTCTAGCTAATCCATATTTCATAGAAGGAGAAAATGTCTAACCTAAGACAAAGCACAAATTATATTATATTTATCTAGATATGATTCTCTGGTCGCACAGTAGTAATAAAATGTGGCAAACTAGGGCTCTTCAAATCTTCTAGGTGGTGTCTGCTTGCTAGTGCTCCAAATATCTACTCAACCCTGGGCTGAGGATGCAATAACCAAGAGACCTGAATGCAACTCCTACATCGCTTAGGAAAATCTACCTGGAGTAAGGATGGTAACGGCCACTGCCACTATAGCCTGCCCTACTTCCATATAAACCTCCTGGTCCACCGTAACCAGCACCGCCAGATTCATAACTAGCATCAGGGCCAACTCCACCATAACCTCCATAACCACCTCCACGGCCATATGAACCTAGTCCACTGCCACCATATCCCCCACCAAACCCACCAGCGTAAGAGCCAAAACGACTAGAATAACCAAGTGACGGGTCCCCACGGTAACCACCAAAATCACTACCACCAAAGTCTCCATATCTACCACCAAATTCACCGCCACCGTATCCATATTCACCAAACCTAGCTCCAAACGACCTATAAGAAGCAGGGCCAAAACCGCCACTGCCAAAACCGCTATATGAATTGCCAAATCCTCCATAACTATCACCATATCCACGCCCCCTAGAGTCACTACCATATGCAGGAGCAGATGCTGGGTTTGAGGGTTTCTTTGGTTCTGCCTTCTTGATCTCAACCTACAATAAAGAAGCAAGTTAACCTAGAAGTTCCACCTGCATAATAGTCTGACAGCTGAGCACTATAAGATGCATACCACATTGGAAAACCTACAAACTTATATTCCTTAAATTAAACTGTCACACATGCACTCCTTAAGACAGAGAGGTATAGGTTAAAAGAAGAAAATTTGGGCTGGGAGATGGTACGAAAGCGCAACTTGTAGATCCACTTTGCACGCACGACAGCCATGTCCTAGAACATTCGACATCATAGAAAAATATCCTACAAAACTTACCTGAGTACCCATCATGTCAATCCTATTTCCCTCAGCCAGTAAATTATCAACTACTTGTTCATTGTCAAACACAATAAATCCAAAACCTCTAGAACGCTTGGACACATGATCTCGTATGATCTCGTACTCTGTTACTTTCCCAAACTTGGAGAAAAAGTTCTTGAATTCATCTGACAACCAATGTACAAGAGACATCAGTTAAAGTACTTCAAAGCTTAAAGAATACTAATGCAACTGCCAGACAATAAAATTAGTGATGTAACAAAAACCACATTTACCTTCAGTCATGGTAGTTGGAATGCCACCAACGAAAATCTTCTTTGTTTTAAAATCCTTTGACTCAGCAGATCCTTTCGGAATGGTTCTTTTAATCTCAACCTGGCAAAAACCAATACCACAATTCAGAAGCCAGAATCTTTCAAGTACTTAAAAAGATGATTTTCAGCTGAAGCTTCAAAAACCAGTAATATTCAGAACTCTAATAAATAAATGAAACCCATAAATCCAGCTCATGACCTCACAAGCATATGACTAACTAAATTGTTTGTGCATATTGGAGCCAGTCAACAAAGTTCACCATAGCTTTCTAATTTTTCAACTCAATTCGACTACAATTGAAAATCAGTACAACAATTACTAAGCCCAAGTCCCAAACAAGTTGGGGTTGGCTATATAAATCGTCAGATGACCATGTTTCTCGATTTAAAGCTCAACTCATGTCATCACGCCGAGTTTTAAATTAAGAAATGAAGAATTATAAAAATTCACTATATTTTTAATGGCATATAAATGTATCATAAGGTCAAAACACTCTTGGAAAAGCAATAGCTTCAAAATCAACGTACTAACAAGACTAAGACTAATTGCAGTAGCAAAACTGAGGCTAAACTACTCACTTGTTTGTCATTGATAATATGGTTTTCGGCTATAACAGTGTCTACAACGGATGGATCTTCGTAAGTGATGAACCCAAAACCTCTGGGTCTACCAGTATACCTATCCTTCATAATCACCGAGTCTATTATCTCCCCATACTTCTCAAAGTACTTCACAAATTGTTCTACCAAAATCAAAATCCAATTTTAATGCCGCCCTAGTCAGTAAATCAAAAATCTACTAGCAAGAAACAATTAGTAACACATAAAAACAAGTATGAAACAGTTAAAAACACTAACCTAACGTTGTCTCTTTCGCTAGACCTCCAATAAAGATTTTTCTGTTCAATACGTTAACAAATAGCAACAAAAAAACCTAATCAATACACATCAATCTTTATACGAAAAACAAACCAATTAATTGGGCAATACACCTACATATTTTCATAGAAAATTTTCAATTTATCTAACAAAATAAAAGAGAGACGAACCCAGGACTAGCGCCGTCGCCGAAATCGGTCTTTCTGGAACCCATCGGTAAGATTGAGGGGTTTGCGGAATAGTCAGATCTGAGAAGGTGCTACACAAGGCTAGGGTTTGTGGTTGTGTATGACGTTGGCACAATATGGAGAGATTGGGTTTCTATGATGCAATATATAAAGTATAATTATATAAGTTAAAGGTTATTTATTTCATTTTGGGGCATACAATCTAGCCGATTGACAAAAAATAATTACATCTGCTAGCTAATTATATAAAAAAATATGTCTATATGTATATTATTTATTAATATACAAAAATACTTTTTTGTTGGCTTTTTGGAGTGACTATATTGCTTAGTTTTTCCTTCTTTCTTTTTTTTTTGGCCCACTCAGTACATGTGCGAAGTGCAGCACTACTCACTTTTAAGCCCGTTTTTAAAATATATTCACTATTTATATATATTTAAAGATTAGCCAATATACCTGAATTTTAAAACTAAGTATTCTGAATTTGGAAATTCATGACTTCGTGTCCTGATTTTGAGCTGCTGATTTGAAATTCAGGACTAAGTGTCCTGGATTTCTGAACTACTAATTTAAAACTCAGGACATAAGATTCGAATTTATGGACATAATTTTTGAACTTTAGGACACGATGTCCTGAAGTTTGAATTTTGATGTTTAAACTCTAGGACACTGTAACCTGAAATTTGAGCGAAATTGGTTAATCTTTAAATATATTGTAAAGTGTGGATATATTTTAAGTAGCACGCTTAAAAGTGGCTACCTAGTGTCATTTCCGCGCAGTAATCGCATTGGAGTCCAACTAATTGGATTCTTGTAAGGCCCATGAAAATGAAAACAACTCCCTATCATAAATCTTTCAGCCTTATTAATTGGGTAATTATATTTATCTCATGATAACTTTTAGTTGCAAATACATTAAATGTATGTGTAATATTCCAAACAATAATTTTTCTAAAAAATTATTTTTCTTCGTACCAAACGCACCCTATATATGTTTATGCATCATAAAATAAAAATTTGTATTTACAAATTATATAACTAACTAAAATTGAGAGATACTCTAAACTCAACTTCCATGTCACTAACAAGGGATCACATTCATCATGCGAGAAACTTATATTTTTAGACTTTTAATTTTCGTCTTGCTACTCAAAATAATGTAACTAATATAATTATAAAACTTTTTTATAAGTCAAAATGATTATACGATATATAACATTGTATATATCGGACACATGAAAAGAATTTATAATTATTCATCTGTACACAGAAAAAAATACATATAGAAAAGGCCAGATAGTAAATATGACTTGTGTTAGATTTGTACACACAGAAAACACTAATGTAGGAAAAGTCAATTAGTAAATATAAACTAATCATACCTCCATTGAATATAAAAAATTGGCCAAATTTTAATATTTAAAATAAAATATAAAAAAATTAAAAATTTGTTTTAATAATATTATGTGCCTATTTAAATCTTGTAGTACATGACGTGAAAGCATGCGTGCAACTCACGTGACTTAAATACTAGTATAATTAACGTTATGAGTTCAAATGAGTACGAATTACGTAGTATACCAATTGTAATGCGTTGCGTTTCAAAAATCTTTATTGAAAAAGGGGAACGAAGATTTAAGACAGTATTTCAGTTACTTATTTATTGGTGTGATAAAATCAAATACTACAAATCACATTTTGACTATCTAAATTTTCACAAATCTAACTATGACTAAAGCTAATTATAGATTTTATTCTATTTTGTTTCTTCTTTACATATTTGACTTTTGCACATCATAGAAAATGTCAAAAACCTTTTTGATTTCTACCGATCATTCCTGGATACCTATCCTTAATTTTATTGTAATCATACATAATGATTACTTGAATTTTACTTCAGATTAGCAATTTAATTTGCTTATTCAAAGTTTTTTTTTCCTTCATTATTAATTGACATTTTACAATTATAGTCAAAGTGGTGAGACTTGAGACAAAAAATTTCATGGCATAAGTGCCGCATTTTCCAAATGCTTTCAAGTAGAAATCAAGCAAAAATTTATAATTACTCATTTGTACATGCAAAAAAAAAAAACACTTATATAGAAAAGCCTGAAAGGTAAACATGACATGAACTGATTTTACCTGAGATTATAAATTAAAAATTAACCAAATTAAATATAAAAAATTAATAGAATAAAGAAATAAAAAGAAGATATTTTAGTTATGTTATGTAATTATTCAAAATCTTGTACTGAACGATTGAGTCGAGAACACGTGCAAAGCACGAAAACTAATAAAAATATAAATACAACTTTATAGTCTAAATGATTACAAATAAGTGTCTAAGGACTAGTCAATTTCGATAAAGTGTTAGCTTTCATATCATTACAAATATATAACATATAAAAATATGATATTAAAGGTGAAACAAAATTTCTCGTGCAAACTAAGGATCAACCTCCCAGACAAAGGTTCCAAGTCGAGCAAATGCAAAAAAATTATGGCTATTCGTTTGTAAAAATAAGAAATATTTATGTTTAGTAAAAGCCCAAACGTTAAACATGATTTAAACTAATATGAATGCACAACTCGAAATTTTTTCTAAAATTAAATGTAAAAAGAACCCAAAGCAAATACTAAAATTTCCCTTAACTATAACAAAAAAAAAAGTTCTATCTCCTTGACATAAAATACAAAAAGAAAATAAAATCTTACATAGTTGTTCAAAATCATGTACTATATTATTGGTCAAATACACGTGGCTTAGAAATTTATAAGTTTATGAATACTTGCATATAAGTTTAAATAATTACGAAGTACTTAAGGACTAGTTGTTTGGATGAACTCAACAAAGTTCACATCATTAGAAACTACATAACATATATAACTGTATTAACATTACATTTCAAAAATATTTTATTTCAAGTAAAATCTTTAAATACATAATCATCCAATGTTGATTATCGTTGTGTACCATAGCTAATGCTTTTAAGGTTAAGAAAATGAATCAAATAAGAACAACAAAATTTTAATGTGTAAATTTGATAATAATAGGAAAACAATGTCGTGTTTTGCCAAAAAAAAAAAAAAAAAAAGGAGCGTTTTGCTCAGATTAGCACTTTAGTTTGCTTAACAAGACCAACGACATGTTTCGAAGTTGAAGTTATGTAAAGATTTACAGCTATTAAGTTATAAAAAAAAATACTTATACTTGTATGGAAAAAGCTAAGCAGTAAATATAACACGAACCGTCCTTATTTGGCTCACAAATCAAAAGTTGACAAAAAATTTAATATGAAAAATACAATAAAAACAAAAATAAAATATTATTAAAATATGTATTTGTAACGAACCCGGCCGGTCGTTTCGCGAGTTATAGCCCCGTTTCCCCCATTTTTGCTTCCGTTTGTGTTCTTCAACTATATTTGATCGTATCGCGTTAGTTGGTTCGAGTTCGGAGTGGTTTTGGAGTGAATTGAGACACTTAGTCTCTTTTGTGAAGGCTTAAGTTGGGAAAGTTGACTGGATGTTGAGTTGTGTGTAAACGACCTCGGATTAGAATTTTGATGGTTTCGTTAGCTCCGTTAGGTGATTTTGGACTTGGAAGCGCGTCCGAAATGTGATTTGAAGGTCTGTGGTAGAATTAGGCATGAATTGGCGAAAGTTGGGAATTTGGTGATTTTGGTCGGCAGTAAAAATTTTGATATCGGGGTCGGAATGGAATTCCGAAAGTTGGAGTAGGTTCGTAGTGTCATTTGTGACGTGTGACGTGATTTGATAGGTTTTGGCCTCATTTGTGAAATTTGGAAATTTAGATGTTCTTAGGCTTGAATCCGAGGGTAAATTGGTGTTTTGATGTTGTTTTGAGTGATTCGCAGGTACGACTAAGTTTGAATGATGTTATGGTATGTGTTGGTATGTTTGGTTGAGGTCCCGAGGGCCTCGGGTGAGTTTCGGGTGGTTAACGGATCAATTCTTGATTTTGGAAGTTGGTAGATTTTCTGGTATTTTGTTGCAGAGAATTCGTTCATCGCGTTCGCGAGAGGGCTCTCGCGTTCGCGAAGGGATTTTGAGATGGGCAGCTAAGTTCTTCTTCGCTTTCACGAAGTAGTTCCTGCGTTCGGGAAGGTGTAGGACTTTAAGGCTACGCGTTCGTGACCAGGTCATCGCGTTCGCGTAGAATCAATGGTCTTTGGGAGCTTCAAGAAGATAAGCCTACGCGTTCGCGAGGGTTGTTCCGCGTTCGCATAAGGTCAGCCAGCTTAAGCTTCGCGTTCGCGAAGGGTGATTTCCAGGTCAGAGGCAGTTTGCGCTTTGTGAACGCGACGTCACTACAGCGTTCGCGAACAGTAAAATCTGGGAGGCAGTGTTATATTCATAATCGAATGTTTGAACCCATTTTTGATATTTTGAGCTAGAGACCACGAGATTGGACAATTTTTGAAGGAAAATTCAGAGGGGTGATTGGGGTAAGTGTGCTTCACTTGATTTTGGTTAGATTTCATGATTTTATCTTGATTTACACCATCTAAATTGAAAATTTGGGTGTAAAATTGGAGGGGGGGGGGGGGGATGGAAGAGAACTAGAGAGATGATTTTGGGGATTTGGATGGCCATTTGATGTCGGATTTTGATGATTTTGGTATGGGTAGTGTTGATACCCAATTTTTTCATACGTATTTTTTTCATATACAAAATACTTTCAAAATAACATATATATATTAAAAATTTGGATTCGCTACTAAAAAATTGATCGAAATTAAATGTAAAATAGGAAAAACATTAAAATAAATGAGTGAAATGAAAAATACAACATTAATAAAAAACGTATTTTAATAATCTTGTATGATAAATAAAATCTGGTACTAAATTACTATACGCACGTGCAAATCACGTTCTTTAGGAACTAATAAAACTACACATTTAAAAAAATTATAATAGATTATTTGTACATAGAACAAATATTCAAGTTCCAAAAAAGCCAAATAATATAACAACCTAAATATGAGCTCTGGATTCGCTCAGAACTCAAAAATTGACCGAAATTAAATTTAAATAATAAAATAGGAAATATTAAAACAAATCATTAAAAGAAAAAATAAATATTTAATAAAAACGTAGTAATAAACATATGTGATTACATAAA